TATTAAATCAAATTTAATGCATTATACTTAATCTAGATCTTTTCTTTTTTTTCGATTAAAAAAAATAGATCTGTTTGAACACCTGATCTTTAAAAAAAAGTATCTGATTCTAGTAATTAAAAAGTGCGCATGCGCAAAATATCTATTTCCTGTTTCGAAGCCCCACAAACAAACAAACCAGATCTATAACACACACTAAAAGTCACCCCACCCCTATTAGCACAATCTCGGCAAGATGGCATTCGCTTATATGTAGCTCTTCATCATCTGTCCCTTACCTTTCGTCGTGAGATTGCTGTGACAATTCGCGTAACGAAAAACCTCAACTTTCCCCGGTCAGCAGTTGTTCTTAGCAGGACATCAAGAGAGGCCGGTCCATTCTTGTACGTTGTCCAGCCAGCTTTTCTTTGGACGACCCTTTCTTGCGGTGTTCCTTCCACTATACCTTCAAGGATGACTTTTGACAGTGTATCCATCCCTAAGCCATTGCAGCAAACAATACATAGATATGTCTCATTTTTTTAGGATATAATAAATTGAACATATAAAATGTGACTAAAACATTTCGCGTCAAAACCCCCGCGTCTGAAAGGCTGCTACAATTACAAGACTTTCTGTTTCGATCTCCTGAAGCCTTAGTACCGCAGGCAGTGGCGGTTTGAAAATAGAGTAGGCCTACCCCTCTCCATAAAAAATCTAATAAAATACTCAGAAAGACACAAGACGGCACATTCCTCGTTCTATATGCTAGGACAAATTTGTACAAATACTCTTTCTTCCCTAGTGCTATACTGCTATTAGAGCATGGAATGGGTTGCCTGAGCCAGCCAGGAAAACCAGTGACTTGGCAGAATTTAAGTCACTGGTTAACATGCATGAAACGTAGGACGTAACCATCTTGTTTTTTTCAGTAACGTCTGTATAATATAAGATAAGAAGAATAGATGCCTCACTAGTCCGACAATGCTGAGCACATATTTAGAAGAGTGCTGGCTGCTCACTGGCGTCCTTAATCATAAATATCGACATTTTTAGAATTCTTTTACATATGACTCATTTTCAGCTTTGTAATGGTCTTATCTTATAAATTCTTATCTTGTAAATTTCAGACGTTCCCTCAAAAGAGTAGGTAATAACGTCCTACGCATATGAGCGGCATATGAATGTGTTAATGTAGTCATGCATGCATGTTAATAAGAGACATAAATGTGTGTGACGGTAAGAACTTTGATTGAAGAAGATTGGTTGGTGGCTATGCAGGGCCCTATGCAGGGCGAAAGAAGCAATAATAGTAATCTTTATCAAACATAAGGAAATTTGTCTCAAAATGAGAAAAAAAAATTAAAAGTTTCTGACCCTTCGAAATTCGGATATAGTTTTATCTCTTTTGTGTGTGTGTGTGGGGGGGGGGGGGGGCTTTCTTGTGGAGTTTCCGGACTGTAGCCTCGACTTCCCTCCCTTAAATCCAGCCGTAGAACACTTATATATATGCGAATATGGAATTAAAAAAAAATGTCTCTTTATGTGTCTTTCTGGGGTATTTTATTAGGTTGTGTTTTTTTGTGTAGTTGTAAATTATGGTTTAGTGTTTTATGTATTATGGCTACTTTACTTTAAACTACTTTAGTCTTCCGTCCTGAAATATAAGTATCATTTTTTTTTTAAAGTAACGTCTGTAATATTTAAGATAATGAAGTGTTGTTACGATATTTGTGAAGGTATGTAATAGGCCTATCTATGATATAATTTGTGTCCATCTTTTTTTTTTGTGTACGGCAGAATTAAATCTTGGAACTAGCACTTCCAATAACAAAATAAATGAAAAATTTCGCTCATGAAGAAAAAAATGAGTTTCGTCTTTTACGTTGTTTAGTTTACCGTGAAAATCTACATTGCTCCTAATTTTCTCTACACTGCACCAAAATAGGTAACAATTGGTAAAAAATATTTCTAATCGCACAGATTTATTACTGTTAGTCTAGAGTCTAGATCTATTACAAATTTAATAAAACATGACAGATCCAAACTAAATGATACGCTTATTATAAGCTTTGTTGTTGTTTTTAAAAAGTTTTTTTTTGTTTTGTATTTTGCTTGTTTTTAATTTTTTTCTGTACAATTCTTCTTATCAGCCCGTTAACTTATCATGGGGTTCAATTCACTGGGTGGAAACAGGACAGGAAATTCGAAAACGGTTTAAACAATTTTCCTAGATATATGACAATTTATGTATATCTTTACAACATAAATAACTACCGAAATGCTGCTGATAAGGTCATTGGCAAAAAAACAAACCCCATTTGGACTGTTAGAGGAAATCCTTAATAAGAAAGCTAAAAAGATCTTAGAAGTAAAATCACCCTTTGGGTTAGGATTTTGTGATTTTACCATCACAAGAAAGATACAAAACACTGATAGCAAAGATCAGCAGATACAAACACTCTTTTGTTCCCCTGGCAATCAAATCATGAAATATAATTTAACTTATTATTATTATATTAATATTATTGACCACACAGTGAAGACTCTGGTTTGACCACACTTTTTCAAAATATAATCATCTAAAAATAAAATTTGTTTTACATCTTTTGTATGTCTAACGTTTGCCATTTCTGTAGCAATGGAGGTTTTACATGGTGGAGTCGCTGGCCCCCACACCAAACCCTCCTACTTTTTTCACCTGAGCTAGGAGTCAGTTATTGAGATCGGGTCACAAACAAAAATAAATCGTATGCAGAACTAGGACTTAACCACTTAACAAGACTGTGACAGAGCGTTGCATGAGGTTTGCAGAACATGTCCTCAGACAGAAGGAGCTACGGTTACCAAGGGTAACGGAGGCCAGTACAAGTAAAGCGCAAACGGGGACATCCTCCTATAACTTGCTGCCACATCTTCATGGAGGACCGCAGAGCAGCGGAAACCAGCTGGTAAAAGGCAGCAGAGGTTGGCAGTGACATCTTTTTGGAGACAGCTTGCCGCTTAATGCTCCATTTGGTGCAGTAGGCTCTAAGTCTAAATAAGTAACTAAATCTTTTGTATTCTGGACACGCTTTCAGCGGGAATTAACATATTCAACTCAAATCTTTCTTTGAATTCAGTAACGCGTTGAATAAATAAAAAGGCGTAGGCTATTTTGCACACCACATTTTATGTAGAAATTATTAGCTTGACTGTTACTTTAAAGAACTTACTTGTGCAAGCTCACTGGCAAGACTCCTTACAATATTGAAGCACTACAAGATACAAATAGAAATTATAGACAACTTCATAAGCGTGGTCGAGAGGCTAAGTACGAACTTAGCTTGGCTACCTATGAAAGGGGCTCGAGGTTCGACAAATGACTCGAGCAGAGTTGTGTTTACTGAGCGCACGGAATGCCTCCTCCCAGATATCCCCTCCCCCCACTGGTCCACAAATGAGATTGGACCATAGCACTCTGAGCATGCCATAAGCATGAAAGTAGCACTATATAATAATAAAGCTTGTCTTCGAGTCCAAAGATTAGTGAGGAATGCAGTACTTCCCGTGGCTGCGCAGCCCCACCTGTGACCTACATATTTTGCCACATCAAGGGCAAGCATAACCATTGTCCGCAGGTGGTCGATTTAGATTTTCTTTTCGCCGTCTGCGTTTGTCCTCGGCAGCAGATTTTCTTTTGGCCTCAAATGTGCATCCAGCTGCCTTCGTGAGTGACCTCCATCTGTCTCGTTCTGAGGCCACATGCAACCACGTGTAACTCAAGAGTTTGGACAAGAAGTAAAGGAAAGATCATTCTTTTATTTCTGCAAGTCGGACTAGAAAAAAAAACAGGGGTGGGGGGTGGAGAACAAGTAGTATTCACCTGACACAAAATAGCAGGGCCAGACTTAACCGTTGTGACCAAGAAGTCATGGAAAGATGAAAAAAAGAGGGGGGGGGGGAGGAGAACAAGTAATCTACTCTGTATTGACCGGGTCGGGCTCAACCGTTTCCAGGAGCTCCTGGTAAATCAATAGGAGGCCGTGGGAAATCTGTTATAAGTTATAAAATGGTTTAATTTAATAATTTGTACACATAGAATTAGCGCAGGTCCTATGAAAGTGCAGATAGGTTGCAGTGGCCTAAGGCCAGCCCTGCAAAACAGCGGCGTAGCAACAACTAGTTATTATTATTATTATAAAGGAGGAAATGATTAAAAAAACAACTTAAGTTACTTTGTTTTTAAGAAGCTTCTTTCAAACAAAAGTTCACATACAATTTCTTAAAAACAGAAAACAACTCTACAGATATTTATTTTAATAAATCTTACAATAAAAACAAAACAAAAAAGTTATACACAGAAAAAAAAAAAAGGAAACAAATTAAGAGACAATTGTATTTTGTTTAAAAATCAGACTAACATCAAAGTGATACAATGGGTCATTAGTGGCATTAAAATATTCATAGAAAGTTGTACTAGTACTATCACAAACTAGGAAATCGGTTTCTGGGTTAGTGACTGTATGCATTCAGGTTATAGATATGCATAGCCATGTGTATACTTTGTGGGCTTGATACCCTAACATCTTTTGCACATTAACTTGAATGGACAGCTAGCTACACTTTCCATATGGAGCGCAGTCTGCAATCACTTTAGTTATACAGCAAACAAAATCAATAGTTTTTGAGTACCAAATTTGGTGTACTGGTATATGCATATACCTTTATTTTTGTAATATAATAATTGTCATATAATACAGAGATCTATTAAAATTTAGATACAAAAATGTAACAGAAGACGAAGTGTTAAGAATTGTTTCTGTAGCAAATATTTATTTTTTTTTTTGAAATTATCAGTTCAACTGGTTTATGTATTTATTTCTTCAATGAAAAAAAAAGTCAAGTGAATATCTTAACAAAACATTGTGATAAGCTTTATATATTACTGTGAATTTCAGCTGAATGTTTACACTGATGCTAATATATGTGTTTTGTTAATACATAAAAACTTTATAGTCTGCCATATATATATATATATATATATATATATATATATATATATATTATGGGAATAGTTTTTCTATAAAATATCACCAAGTTTAATACCCTGTTAGAGACTATATCTGCTTAAGTGTATCATCAATTTTAAAGCCACAACTAATAAGGATTCATTTAGTTTCTATAAAGGTATTAGTAAACTAAACACATAAGTAAGTCTAATTATTACAGAATTAATAGACCTATATTTTTCTTCAGGATACAGCAAAAAAACAAACTTCCAAAGTATCTCTGAAATTTATGTTTCTGGGCACAAAAGCTAATAAAATACAAAAATGTGTAACCTTTAAAGCTTTTCCAATTCTAACGTCAATTACAATTCTGCATATTTAAAACATATAAATAAAAACAACAGAATTCTGATGACTAGATCATCTAGTTCTGAACAAATAAAAATCGGAGTGTTGTGAAATAAAAAAGTTTACTGCAATATAATTAAGACACTCATCTAAAATTGATAGTTAGTCTGAAACAAAAAAAAGGGAGATATTAGCTGAGTATATTTAAAGCCTGCTACTTAAACAAACTTGATATTTACATATACATGTTAGCACAAAAAATAATTCAGCTATTTATTTTTTGAGACAATACTTCAGAAACAAAGACAAAAAAAAAAATAAGTGTAACTAAGCAATGGCAGAACAGATCATCATACAACAGTTGACAGGGTAAGATTCGGCAGACAACTTACTTGAAGCAAAAATAATAGGAAGTTCAACAGTGCACAAAGATTAGGAAGTAGCAAAATTTGTTATATAGGTCTGGTGTTAAACCATGCCCTGTACCAATCTACTGTTAGCACAGAAGCAGGCGAGTAATGTGAAATAACTTGATGAAAACACAAATACATCCAATTAATTGATGACAGAACCTTGGATTACAGTTATTCATAAATTAAAACTTTGACAGCCCTTCGGTAAAGCAATCAATCACAATTAGTGTGATCACCAAAATCATAAACAAATAATTAGATTTATTCACAAGAAGCCAACCAAAAAAAAAAAAAAAAAAAAAGATGATTCTTTCTCGATAGCAGCCATGTCTATGTATCTTTAGGAACAACATACAATTAAACTGTGTCCTTTAGATTAGTTTGTGTCTAACTTAAGATGTTCAAAATCATGGGATCAACAATAAGCTGACTTGTTTTCTATGTCTAGAAGAACGTTGGGGCTACTCTTGTAACATTAACTGAAAGACCAATGGAAGAAACTAACTAGCAAAGATTATTTGTATTCAATCATTAAAAAAAAAAAAAAAAAATAACCCATATCTACTTGAATATTTAAATGCGTTTTTATGAGCTGGAAAAATTTCTTTATTTAAAATTTTTTTTTTTAAAAAAGGCACAATTTTTTTTTAGGAACAAACAGAGTTGAAACTTAAAAATAAAAAAAAAAGAAGATGGACTCATGATTAGGTTTCAGAAAACAAATATAAAATCCTGTTATTTCTTTTAAAGCAGGTTCTGTTGTTTATAGTCTATTTTGTCATTAAATATTTCAATTCATCCATGAAAATTGGTAACAAGTTTCAAACTTAACTTTGCTAGACAATATACAAAGCAAGATATAAGATTATTTAGATGCAAAAAGTAAACAAAAATCACTTGACTTATTTATATACAAGAAAGAACAGAAGACTTCAACAATTCTGGCACATTCCATAAGTACAACCAACAGATCACCTACAGGAAATTAATAAAATATAAAAAAAAAACTTTAACAGTAAAAAATGTTTTTGTTGTTTTTGGCTGTGCAAGCGGCAACAACACACAAAAAGAAAAATCAGACAAACAAGATGAATGTCAAGCTCATGTCATTTGAGATGAAGTTGAGGCTGCTTGTGCACATCATTATGGAGTAAGATTTGTTCATGTCACAAGATGTCAATATAAACAACCGTGGAAACAGATGGTGTTTTAACAGCAAGCTACATAGAACATTGAATTAAAAAAACAAACAATAGTTGTGAATATAGAGAAACAGGACAAAAACAATTGTCTGGTGTCATTCTTTTTCATCTGCAAATGTATGGGAACAATTGTTTTTAGTACATATGCACAGCATGCATAAAATGTATAGCCACTAGCACACAGTCATAAACATATTACACTGAAGTACAAATACACTAATTGAGATTTCCTTCATGTTAATTTTGTGTTTGTTGAGTCACTTAGTTTTATACATAGTATGAGGTTGACTTTTAGCAACATGCCAAGGAGTTTTTTGCAGGTTCGCAAATAAATATTCACAATCGGGTGGCAACAAACTGAAAACAAAAATGTTGGAATGATTCATGATATAAAGAGTAAGCACAGCCGATTGATTTATGAAAGGAATGACTTAATATTACATTGAAGTTGTCATCGCCTCTGCTTTGCTAATGTTGTACAAAATTTTTTCAAAGCTTTAAAATTGTATTCTTTGGCAAAAAAAAAAAAAATCTATGTTTCTCTAATTGGGAAACAAATTGTTTAAATAGATGTGACGCACCACATTTTTTTGCATATTTAAATACTTCAAGGATATGGAGAAAGAAAACAAAAGAAGTAGTATACAATTTTTTTCCCTTGCTCTGATTGAGATGAAAAATCTTGAGCAGGACAGAAAGTCATTCAACCTGGTTTATCCACACTAGCATCATAAAGCAACCATCATCCTTCACAAGCACCCAATTTCTTTTGGACAAGATTGTTTTTTTGCGTTCACAGAGCCTCGGTCTTGAAGCAGTTAGCTAGTCTTTGAGCTGGGGGTATACAGCATCACTGAGCTGCCCACTGTATCGGTGAACTCGCACTCCACCACTTTGAACTTGATGTCCAGTATGGCCAGGGTGGATTTGGATGGGGTCATCAGATAGTTGTTCATTGTGTCACTGGGGACAATCAGGCGATGGACTGAGGAAGGATGTCTCAGTGCAGCAGGATCAGTAAATTGAGTCCCTGAGGAGAAACATGTAACAAATGTCAAAAGTACAGTAATAATCAAAGAATAATGAATTATTAATCACAATTTATAAAGAAAAATAAGCAATTGAAAAATAAATACTTTTTAAAAACAATTCATATCTAAGGGAAGGAACTGTTTAGTACTGCCATTTCTCTGAAAGTTATGGGCTTTATCTCCCTTTCTGCTATATAACACAAAATTAATTAATTAGTACTAAATGATTAACTAAGTGGTTAATTTTTTGATTGATTCACGTATTGTTATCAACTATGAATGATTATGAGAAATTACAACTTGATATGAGAATGGGAAGTAGGAGAAGAAAACGTGCTAAAACGTAATAAGGGAATTAAATCCATATATACAACAACATCTCTCATTAAGTAGCATTTATTCCACTTATTTCGAAATCAAACAAAACAACTAATTCCCAACAATTAATTAACTAATGGTTTGATTTTTTTGATTGATTCATATCTTGTCAAGTTTAATAAACTATTGTGCTACGTTTTAACTTGATCCAAGAATGGAAAATGGGAGAAAAAAATAATGTTTAAACTTTTGACCGGACAGACAGACATAGTCAGAGTGAGTTGGTATTAATCTATAAGAAATTATCATGTAAATGGAATAGCCTTGGTCAGGTACGAATAATTTTCTCTTTATGTACAATGTGATTGATGGATTTCACTATGTGAGAATATGTAAGGGTAGTGACAGTGAGTGGATTTTTAAACTTGACAATCTAAGTTAATCAAATTGGCTATGAATTTCCCACTTGGGAATTGTAGATTTGATGCAAAAAAAAAAATATCTTTATATAAATTGACTACAAAAAAAAAAAAATTTTAAGCACTATTTAATTTAAAATTTAACAAGAAAGAAAAAAAAAATTTCTACTGATTTCGTAATGGTTTATTATTTAATTTTAGTTTAATGCATTTCAATTTTCAAATTTTTTAAAATGTCTCAATAATTCTATTATCATCACAAATACAAAATCAGCTCAACTGAAGTTAAAGTAAAGTAAAGTTTCCCTTTCAGACCTTGCAATCTTTGAACTGGTTTAAACTTAAATTATGAAACCCTGCGCCAAACAAACAGCCCTACATCTATAAATACAAAGAAAATAAAAAAGTGTGTCACAATTTGAAAGTTTGAAAGCGAGGCTGACCTGTTATCTTTTCAACTTTCCCTGTTACCAGGTTCATCAAAATGACATCATCATCATCAGCCGATGTCAAGACAAGATCATAGCCATGATGAGAATTGGCAGGTACAAATGTGACATCACTAATTCTAGCACTGACTGTTACTTCATATGTAGTTTCCATGATTCCTGAATAGAATCAGATGAAGATTCAAGTTAAGGAGGTTATCAACAGAGATATGATCAAGTCAGAGAGACAATACAACAGGGGTTGAGGAATACATAACAGATTTACAATTCTATCTTTAAAAAAAAGTATCATTAGAAACATAAAATAACTAAGTAAAAAAAGTAGATATAATTAAATAAAAAAATTGAAAGCATTTAATTGAAAACTATTAAATTGAACCTCAATTTTGCTTCACTTTGCAAAAAAAAATGTGTCAATTTATTCCTTAAGTTCAGTCAATAATCAATAATAATATAGCATTTTAGATCTAAATACTTGACTTGTTATACAAACTATATATGTTTTCCAACAGTTATACATTTCAATTCTTCTACTGCGTTCTCATTATTATGTTGAAAGGTTCAGATGATTAGTCCAATATCTGAGATAAACTATGCAGTAGTTTCCAGATCAAAAAGTTCTCCATATAGTTTTTCTTCTAAATGGGTGTTTTGGGGCCACTGTCTTGTTTGGGCCTCTCAATGGAAAATGCAGTTTTGAAGGAAATGGTCGGCTATCTCTGATGACACTCCGCAAGGGCAAATTTCACAAGTCCCAATTTTCAGTTTCCTATGCATATGTTGTCTTATTCTGTTGTGTCTGGTTACTAAGTGAAAAATTTGTAAGTAGATTGTTTAGGGATAGTTTATTATAGGTGTCCGTCGTTCTTGTACTTTGGATGAGAGCTTGTCCATTTTTCATTTACTCTTCAAATAGTTTGCTCATTTGTTTAAAAAGTTCCCCTTTCAGACCATGTGGTCAATAGGGCAGATGATGATAAGGTCATCTGTTTCTTTGGCCAACAGTTTCAATCAAAATCCAATAATTTCAAACATGACTTTATTCTGCTGTTTTTTTTTTAGGCTTATTCATAATGTTAAACAGATTGTAATAAACAATTTTTATTTTTCTTATAGAAAAATATTAAAATGTTTAATAAAGTTTTTTTCCCACTTTCATCTCATTGGAAATTATTTCTTTCAAATTGAAAAAAAAATTGAAAGAAAACATTTTATTTTGTTTACCTTCATCACTGACTGAGGAGACTGTAACTTTACCAGTAGATTCATCAACTGTGACTAGATGTCTAGAGTCCGGTGATGTCATGGGTCGTCCAGACAGGGAGACAGTTGAGATAACTGTGTCGGTTAAATAGTCCATGGTCAGTTGTAAAGTATGATGATCAACTGATGATACACATTGAATCAACACATGTCCACCTAAAAAACAGGTTAAGTTAAATTTAAACAACATGAATCTCAGAGCTATCCATGAAAATAAATGATGACAATTAAAAACTGAAAACTCAGCTAATATGATAAAGCCAGATGCATCAAAATCAGCTAAATAAAGAAAAACAAAGTAACTTAAAACATTCATGCGCAGATTGAAGGCTACAACATAAAAAAAATAAATAAATTTGAGCAGTTTCTTTTTAGCTCATAAATGAGATTAAATGGAAATTAGCTTTTAAATGAAAAAAATATCATTAGGAAAGATTCAAATTATAAATAAAGGTGGCTTTTTTAAAAAAAATAGGAATGCTGTGAATTAATTTCAGAAATCAATATTGTGCTTTTCATCAAAAAGAATGAATGAATTTGTTCTGCCTTTTTTCCAATACCCAGCAAAGATTAACATTATGATTATGCTGAAGCTGAAGACAGCAGGGGTATAGGCTGTA